GTAGCTTCTTTTTTGTCTCTTCTCTCCTGTTACACTGCAAAAATAAGGAAATCACGAATGCTTAATTATGGCTACTGGATGTGTGGCTTCTCCAACAATAACAATTCAGAAAAACGGAATTTCCCTTTGGAAGAGCGTGCGGATAGGATGTACACTCAAAGTATATAGATTCTGATGCGAATTCATGTACGGATTTAGAAGATACATGAATTTTTTGACGCGCAACATCAACTCTGTAAAAAACATCTAAAACAAATAGCTCATTGTTTTCACCCGTTTTTAAGACAGTTTCGCACTTTCTTTTTGTAGCAAATCTGAACGAACCTGTCTGTACAGACCGAGGCCGATGCAAATATTCAGAAATAACAAGCCGGAACCAACTGCTACTGTAACTGACAACATTGTACTGTTCTGAGCTGCTTTTACAAAAGGCACTGGAGTTGACGGAGTTTTGTCGGAACTTGCTTCGGTCGATGCAGCTGCAAATCTGCTTTGAAGCCTCCAGTGATAAAATAATACAAACAAGTTTGGGTGGAAACTCCAAATTTATTCGATTTCACATTCGTCAAATGTTCTGAATTTATCTAGGGATGTCTAATAACGAATCATACATCTCAGCGCTTGAATCACATCTGCCAACAACACACCCAATAAAACAATCCAGGGAAGATTGCATTCTCAAACCTGTAGTGAGCTTTTTGATAGCCTTTGGAAGGGGTGTTGGCGGAAGTGGCGGTGGCGGAAATGGTTCATTCGCATAATTTGCATAGGGCCTGACGACACCAAAGAATGAATCACGCTTGAAGTGATTCGGCAGGAAATTGTGCTCCTGAAAGTTTTTTTTTTTAGACCATTATATATGCGGTATGATGTGACAATGTGTTCGCATACGGTTCAATTGCAGAAATTAAAATGCCGGAATTTTGAGCGGATCTCAAAAATGGATTTTGTCGCTCTTGTTCTGATTTTTGATCTCAAGTAGAATTTGGTGAATTTTGGAAAATGAATGAAGCTAGGAAGTTTTGCGGAAAGTGGCCTGGAGTCTGTTTTCGCAAGCAAGTGCATCTTGCAGCTAAGACATATGTCCTCATATCGAGCCTTAGTTGATGCCGTGAATCCAAAGAGTTTAAATTTATGTGCTTTTTGAGGGGAAATTATCCCTCAGTCCCGTCACCGAAAGGAAAATTTTGCCTCTTCCAGCAGCGTAAGAAATTATATCACCAACGTCACTAAGCATCTATTAAATGTACATACTAGCAGCGCATCTATGTTAGGGCATGCACTGAGCATTTATTGCTCATCGAACTATGTTTCCTAACCAGGCTGGATTATTGTGGAGGAGCCAGGAAGTCACGATGTTCCTCATTTTGTCCA